AGGTACCAAAGGGGCATCGGTGCCTTGATGCCAATGAGGAAACCGAGGCCCAGATTTTAGGGACTTGTTCTATGGCAAAAGCCAGCCTCAAGTCAAGCTTCTGCGTTGTGCCGGGCACTGGACGGAGCCCTCTCCCCTCTCTCTTCTATCATCCGTTCAGCCACTAATGTGATTTTCCGAAAGTGCAGGTCTGACCGTGGCACCCCTTGCCCTCCACTGCCTCCAGGAGCAAATACAAAATGCTCTGCTTGGCAGCCCTTCGTAGCCCTGCTCCCTTCCCCCATTCTGTTCCTGACGCATTCTCTTCGATTGAGTGACCCCGGCCTCCCTGCTGTGTCCATCTCTCGGCTCTGGGCGTTCCCTCTGGCCACCCCAGGCCTGGGATGGTCTCTCTCCTCCACTCTGACTACTGAGCTCCCTGGCTTCCTTTAAGTCCCAGCTGAAAGCTCACCTTCCACAGGAAGACTTCCACAGCCCCTTTTAGTTCTGGTCATTATCTCCTGTTTATCCTGTCTGGAACTTGCTTTGTATAGATTTGTTTGCATGTTGTCTCTCCCGTTAAACTATGAGCTCCTTGAGGACAGGGCCTGTCTCTTGCCTCTTTGTAGCCCCAGGGTTTAGCACAGCGCCTGGCACACAGCAGGCGCTTAATAAATGTTTATTGACTTGTCAACCATAAGCAGTAGAGCTCCAGCCCTCCCCGCACTGGGCCAATCAGGGTTCTATCTGAGGTTCAGCTGCATCAGACATGGTGACCTAAATAAAGGTCCACAGTGTTCACGTTTTGCTGTGCCAGAGTTTTCATCAGATGAGCTCATGGAGGAGGAAGACAGAGTCACAGAGGGCACTTCCAAATCGTCTGGTGGAGGAATGTGTCTGGAGGCCCCCAAAGCCGCTCCAGGGCAGGGATCTCGAAGCTGGCCATCAGAAGATCAGTGAGGTGGCAAGGCTTTCCTCCTCTAGGGGGTGGTCCAGCTGCTGGCCAAGCTGCCCTTCCTTCTGGGCATGAAGACCAACATGCCGGGGGTGGGATGGGGACAGGGGTGGTGTCGGCCGCAGTGGCAGCACCTGCCTGTCGGGTAACTGTCTGGGTAACTGTCAAGCATCTCCAAAGGAGATAAGTGTGGGGGCCTTGCAGACTGCCAGGCATGGCCCCAGGCGGGTTACTAGAGTGCATTGGGACCCTCCACGGTCCGTGACACATAGATGTGGTCTCTGTGTTTCCTTGGCTTCGACGTGGTCTGTCCGAACATTAGTGGAGCTCTTCATTTTCCTTAAGAGAGAAGATGACTACATTTTTTAGTACAGCAGAATTCTAATGTCCAGATAATTAAATTATAATGGGACTGTCAGTTTAAGTGGGGAAGTGCAGTGGCTTGCGCATTATAAATGGGCTCGTTATTGTCACTGAAAGCCCCTGAAGCGCCAGGAGCCCTGCTCGCTCCTCTTGTGTGTCTGCAGTCATTCTAACGAGCCGATGAGTCCTTCAGCATTGGGGGGTCTGGGACGATCTGGACCCACGTACGCATCTCATGCCCCAACCTTTCAGGGACGTCAGCTCTCCTCCCTTGGCCTCCCTCCTGGCTCGGCCCTTTGTGTTGATTTGTCACGGGCCCAAATTTGGAATGAGAACAATCCATGGTTCTCGCTTGTTCGCTCCTTGCCTGTCACATAGGGAGTGCTCCCGAGATGCAGAGATCCTGTGCTTTGGGGCTCTGCCTACTCCCCACCCTCAGCCAGAGAGAGTGGGTGGTCAGGGTCAGGATTGGGAGCCTGGCTTCAACTTTCAGTCCTCATCCCTGCCATGCTAAAAGCTTCGGGAGCTCCATTGGCCTTCCCTGACCGTCCTCTAAGTGATTTTTGTCCCTTCATTTCACGATCCCTTTCAGGTTCCGAGTTCGTTAGAGGTGACACTGATTACAAAGGCAGTTGTTTTGCATATTTAATTGTATTATAACCAACATTAATTGATTATGCTCCCATTAGTTTATAAGACCACATTGCCCTTTTATTTGACTTCTTGGTGGCTTAATTATTTTGCCTTTGGCTGAGTATTTTGAGGTTTATTAGTAACAGTGTATATGGGTCTCACCTATGAAAACCCTTTTAATTGAATTCTGTGTTATATATAATATGGCGGTTGTTATTATTATTCAGTTGTTGAGTTGTGTCTGACTCTTCATGACCCCATAGGAGGTTTTCTTGGAAAAGATACTGGAGTGCTTTGCCATTTCCTTCTCCAGTTCATTTTACAGATGAAGCAACTGAGGCAAACAGGGTGAAGTGACTTGCCCAGGGTCGTCCAGCCAATAAGTGTCTGAGGCCTAATTTGAACTCAGGAAGAGGAAGCTTCCTGCCTCTAGGTCTGGCAGTTTATCCACTGTGCTGCGTGTGTGATATACAGCGAGGTACATGAGACATAGTAATGCCCTTGGGGCAGGACACGTTAGGGGTCTATGGACTGGTTTGGCAGGTGACTTGCAAAAGAATCTGGCCATACACACATTTAACTTACTTGAATTAAACTCTCTGTGCTGGCCTAAAAAAAGAGAACCAGGATAAAGAGCGGAGGGGGTATCTGCCATTTCTTTCACGTGGATGTGCTCAGGGAGATGGGGGTGAACCTGCCCTTCCCTCTTTCACTCACTGGTGGGGGCTTCTCTTATCCCCACAGAGTCTCAACCTGCTGAGGCTGGTGGAGCCCACGAATGATACAGTCCCAGGTATGGCCCCGGTCAGTGGGAAGACTTTTGGACTTCCTTGGAAGCAGGGGTGGTGGGAATGCCCTCTGACGAGCTCACACTTCTTCCATGAAAAGCCCTTCCAGGACCTGGCTATGTTTTTGTTTGAGCTACAGTAGCTCAGCTGAGGCTAAAGAAAGATACCATTTACCTTCAGTCGTTTCCATAGCAACCATTTCTCTGCGCCATCTGCTCTTCGATATAGTTGTGAGATCACAGATCCCTTGAAATGGAAGAGGCTAAGGGCTTATAGACACCTCCAAAGTCTCCTGCCTAGAAAGCCAACAGGTCCAGAGAGGAGAAGGAATTGTCTCAAAGTCACATAGCTCAGGTGGTAGAAAACTAGAACTGAGAAACAGGTCTTCTTCCTAGCTCTTCTAAGATGATTTAGGCCAAGGTGCATGGACACAGTGGTCCTCAATGCTCCCTGGGAGATCAGACTGCCTGCAGGAGAGCCGCCTGCCAAAGGTGGGAGGAACCAGGGGGCCAAACTTGGCGGGCCTAGGAAGGACTTTTGCTCAGGTGTGGGCTGCACGCCTGGCCTCTGAGACCCTTTCTACGTCGGTTCTGAGTCTGGGTCTCCTTGTAACTCTCCTTCCAGAAGACAGTTCGACAGCGTTAGACATGCGTCCCCAGAAGGAGCTGGGCTGATGTGATGGCTGCCAGCAGCTGCTCACTGATTCAGGGGCCATTTCAGAATCAGCTGTTGGAGGGAAGACCACGAAGCCCCCGGCAAGGCAACGCTCGCCCTCCCTGCTCTCCAAGACAGGTTTTGGATGTGAATTTGGGGGAGTGTCAGGGCCCGCAAGTGCTCCCTGAGTCAGAAGTTGGATGGGGACCCATCTGGGGCATCCTTAGAAGGGAAGGAGGTGATTGGCCACCGTCGTCTGCCCTGCATAGACCCCATCTGGAGTGCTTCGTTTAGCCCTGGCTACCCTTTGGAAAAGGCAGTGGGGGGTCTGCGGAGTGGAGAGGGAAAAGTTTGGAGTCCATAGAGCCGTGAAGCTTACTTGAAGGAACTAGAAATGTTTGGTCTAGAGACAAGAAGGATCTGGGGAAGATGGAGCCAGAGAACTTTCTTTAGGTATTTGAAGGGTGGTTGTATGGAATGACCTCTTTGGCCCCAAGGCAGAACCTGGAGAAATGAGGGAAGGTACAAAAGGTCGATTTGGGCCTGGGGTCAGGAATACCTTCCCCACCAGGAGAACTCTTCCAGCATGAGAGGGCCAGTCTTGAGAGACAATGGCTCTCCCTCCTTGGAGGTCTTCAAGCAAAGACCGACTGACCACTTCTTTGGTAGGTTGTCCTTCCTTCCCTCCCTCTCTCCGTCTCCTTCCTCCCCTCTGTTCTTTCCTCCTTCTGTCCCTTCCAGCTCAGAGCCTCTGCTCTTTGCAGCCACGACTACCTAAAGGCTTTGGGGCCATGTGAGGGATGACCATGGGTAACATTCTGGTCGGTCCCCTCTCCCTAAGGCGTCGCCCTGCTGTGTTCTTGAGCTGTCCTTTCCTCTTTTGTCTTTCATTTAAATGGTCATTTAATACATATCCCCATTTTATGTGTCTGCAAAGAGCAAGGGCCCTGATGAAACTTGCTTTCATGTCTTTAGTGACTTAAGGCTTGAGAAGCTCTTTAGGTTCATGATCTCATTGGAGTCTCACAACAACCCTGTGAGGCAGGCACTCTTATTAGCCCCATTTTACAGATGAGGAAACTGAGGCATAGAGAGATGACAGTCATACAGCAAGTAAATGTAAAGGCAGGATCAGATTCAAGTCTTCCTGACTACAAGTCCATCTTTCTAGCCCCTTCACCAAGCTGCGACTTTGTTTTACGTGTGTTTATTTATCGAATAAGACAGGAAGTATATGATGAACAGAGTGGAAAATATTGCGTTGTGTTTTCCCTTTCCCTTCCCCTTTTCCTTCTAAATTTAGCAGCCATCAATAAAAATAAACAATTATATATATTTATATATGTGTGTATAGGTATATGTGTACATAGGTACATATATAACACACACGTATGAATAATCACCTTTCCCAGTACTTTTCTTCACAGACACTTCTCTTATTTGCCCTTTTGTTTCCAAACAGCCACAATTCCCAGCACAGAATCACCGAGTTACTAAGTAACTGTTTGATTCTCACCCAGGCCTTCAGAATAACCTTATCTGGGGAGGAAGCAGAGGGAAGAAAAACCCCAAACCCTCAAGGTGGCCCTGGAGTGAAGTGGCCCATGGACAGTGACCAGGTCCTGAAGCAGAGCCTTACCAGCAGTGATACCCACAGAGATTTGCTTGTGAATGAGGTGAACGGTTATTTGACTGCTAACTGATCACACTTGTTGGACGGGAATTTCAAATCCTGAGAGCTCATTTGCCAATAAATGTGTGTTTGTGTTTGCTGGTTGGTGATAATTGGCCCCCACCCCCAGCTCAGGTGTTTGGCATTCTGACGTCACTACTGTGGGAGCAGGGCTTCTGGGAGAGCCTTCTGAGGCTGGGGCTATGTTTCACTTCCAGAATGTTAAATATGGAATTATGTACATGTATATCAGAAATACTCACTGTTTGGCAAATTTTCAGCCTGGAAATTGGCTTAATTTCTTCCAAGTCACTGAAATTTCTGAATCACAGAATTGGAAGGAAACTCAGTGATCTCCCAGTCTCAACCATGCCTGAAAAGGGGTCTCCACTCACTCCAGTGGTCTTCTGGGCTCAGTCTTTAACCTCAAGGCCTTCAGGCCTCAGCCTCTCTCCCCTACCCAGCATTTGTTGGGGTTTGTCATCACATTTCGAGCCCCCAAAGTTTCCCATGAGCAAGTTAGTTTGGCAACTGCTGCTCTGGGTCTGGAACCTTAAGCAGAAGTCAGCCAACCAGGACCCTCACAGAGCTTGAGATGTCCTCCCCCCCAAGCTCTGTTTTCAAAAGAAAGACATAAAGGAGGGAAAACCAGCCAACCTCCAGGCTTTGTTCAGTCCTCAGCTGGCAAGCACTTTGCTGGCACCAGCACCAAGTTCCTGGATCAGCACTAATTCAACCCCATCTCTACCTTGGAAAGAGCTGCCTGCAGGGAGTGGGGATGATTGATGGTCCTGGGGGGAGCCCCAGAATAATGACAGAGGCAGCCTGAGGGAATTGGAGCATCCTAGAGGACTCTGGTTGTTTTCCTGGAGAAAATCTCGTTGCTCATGAATAGGAAGGCAGCACTTTCTTTATTTCTACAGCATATTCCCTGACCATCTTTATTCACATCAGACTGATGTAATCTGTGCTTTGAGTTCCTGTAGCAGTGACTGGCCTCACCATCTAATCATCAGCTCAGGGTGTTTTTGTAGATTCTGATTGGGTAGGGATTTCAATTAGTCAATAACATTTATTAAGCACCTACTACGTTCCAGGCACCCTGCTAAGCATCAGGGATACAAAAAAGAGAAAAAAGACAGAACCTGCCCTCAAGATGCTCACACTACAATGGGGGACACAACAAGCAAACAAATATATACAAAGCAAGCTCTATACAGGATAAATAGGAAATAATTAACAGAAGGAAGTCACTGGAATTAAGAGAAGTTGGAGAAGGATTTCTGTAGGAAGTAGGATTATAGTTGAGACTTAAATGGAAACCAGAGAGGTCAGTAGTTGGAATGGAGGAGGGAGGGCTTTCCAGGCTTGGGGGACAGTCAGGGAAAGTACCTGAAGCTGAGAGATGGAGGTTCTTGTTCATGGGTCAGCCAGGAGCCAGGTATAAGAAGACTGGAAAGAGAGGAGAGGGCTGGGTGATAAAGGGCTTTGGATGCCAAACAGAACATTTTGTCTTTGATCCTGAAGGCAATAGGGAGCCACTGGAGCTTACTGAATGTTGGGGTAGGGTGGTGTGGTGTGGGGGTGACATGGCGACAGTTATGTTTTAGGAAAATCATGTTGGTGGCTGAATGGAAGATGAGTTGAAGGGGGAGAGACTTGAGTTAGGGAGATGGTCCAGCAGCTATTGCCATAGTCCAAGTGTGAGGAGATGAGGGCCTGCTCCAGAGTCAGAGCAGAGAAGGGGGTATTGGAGACATGCTCAGAGGTGCAATCAGCAAGAGATGCTGCAGAGGTGAAACTGACAAGAGATGCTGCAGAGGTGAAATCTACAGAAGTGAAATCTACAAGATATGCTTCAGAGGTGAAACTGACAAAAGATGCAGAAATGCTGAAGAGGTGAAACTGACAAAAGTGGATGAGAGGAAAAATTAACAAGAAAAGCTGTAGAGGTTGCATCAACAGACCTTTTCACCATGTTGGAGATGGACAGGGTGAGAGAGAGTGAGAAGTCCAGGATTAGGTTGGGAGCCTGAGGGACTGGGAGGAGGATATTACACTCTGCCATAGAGAAGGGAAAGTAAGAGGATAGCTTACATAGCTAGTAAGTGTCTGAGGCTGGATTTGAACTCAAGTCTTCCTGACTCTAGGTCCAATGCTCTATTCATTATGCCACCTAGCTGCCCTGCGACTTTTTGAGGTATCTTAAAAAACCCTCAGCTACTTTATTTTTCTTCTTTCTATTTGTTTCAGTAAATACATTTAATTTCTATGTGAGTAAATAGTCCTTTTGGGGTCATGCTGAAGTTGGGAAAGAGGGATTAGGGTTCTTTGAGAGTCAACTGTAAGTTATGATGTGATTAGACGTAATATATGTTTTGGTCTGTGTAGAGCCTTACTTTTGGTCAGTGACCTCCTTGAGGGAGTGGCCTGGTTGTGGAATCTCTAGGTCAAATGATTTGGACTTAGCCACTTGATTTGCATAATTCCAAACTGCTTTCTGGAAGATTAGTTAAACTAATTCACAGCTTCACTAACAAAGTATTAGTATATTTGACTTTACACATAATCATACCTGAGGAGAAGTATTCAGTTTGCCCTCCACCCCTGGCTCTCAGGACTTTTTCCACCAAGTGCCAGCGCCTTCCTCACCTTGGAAGGTCATTTTGCCCTTGGAAGTTCTCTCTGCCCTTGTGGCCCCTTCATCTGATTGGTTAGTTCTTCCCAGAACTTTCATTTTAAGGAAAGTTATCTATATCTATATTGTGTATATATACATATATAATATACATATAAATATAACATATACATATAAATATAAAATTATTGATATGCATATTTTAAAATTAATATGGGCAGCTAAGTGGCACAGCGGATTGAGTGCTGGGCCTGGAGTCAGGAAGACTCTTCTTTTTTGTTGTTGCTCAGTTGTTTCAGTCATGTCCAACCCTTCATGACCCAATTTGGGGTTTTCTTAGCAGAGATACTGGAGTGGTTTGCCATTTCCTTTCTCAGACAATCAGAGGTTAAGTGACTTGCCCATGGTCACACAGCTAGGAAGTATCTGAGGCTAGATTTGAACTCAGGTCTTCTTGATTCCAGGCCCATTGCTCTATCCAGTGGCTCTAAGACATCTGCCTCAGTTCGAATCTGGCCTCAGACACTTACCAGCTGTGTGACCCTGAGCAAGCCACTTTAGCCCTGTTTGCCTCAGTTTCCTTGTTTGTAAAATGAGCTGGAAAAGGAAATGGCAAACTACTCTAGTATCTTTGCCAAGAGAACCCCCAAAACCCACAAAGAATCAGACACAACTGAAATGATTGAACAATGTAAAAATTAATACATATATACAAAATCAATATATAAATTTATATATGTATGTATTTATATCACATATATATTTATGTTTACATATATGTATGTGTGTGTTAAATATATTTACTGAAGCAAATATTTTTCATTTATTATAGTAATATTTCCTCACAGGGCATTCAGTGACTCCCCTATCCACGGGCATCTTCTCTTTCCAAAAGGCTGCTATAAGGATTTTGGTGTCCCTAGGCCTTTCTCTCTGTCTCTGACCTGCTTGGGCTGTCTGCTCAGTAGTGGCCTCTCTGGGTCAAGGAGCATGGATGTTTCTGTCATTTTCATAGCATCATCCCAAGCTGCTTTTTCAAGTGGCTGGCTCTCTTCACAGGTTTACCAACAATGTATCAGTGCATCCTTCTTTCCACAGTCTGTCCAGCCTTTCCAGCCCTGTCTTTTGTCATCTTTGCCAATTTGCTGGGTGGAAATGGAATGACAGGGCATTTAGGAAGTCCTTGTTGTGTGCCAAACCCTGTGCGAAGCATTGCGGGGTGCCCGTAGGAAGGCAGGGGAGTCCCTGCCTTCAGGGAGCTCGCTCTCTTTCTGGTAATGCACAGAAGAAGGTCTGCAGCAGGGCAGATGGAAAGGCCTCTGGCCTTCAGGGTGCTGTGGCAGGGCACAGAGGGAGGCCCAGGAGTCCTTTGGGGACCTTAAGGTTGTTTTTTTTTTTCATTTCTTTTCTTTGGGGATTTGAAACCATTTCTCCTGTAGTTGTCAGTAGTTTGGGATTCTTCCTTGGATAGTGGTTCACGCATCCTCCAGGGGTTCCTCATCCACGGCTTCCGGGTCTGTGCAGGGTGTGTGGAGGGAAGGGTGTTCTTACCTTCTAGGTCTTGTGGTGAACGGGGTTTTTCACATGTACAATTCTTGGTCTAGTTTATTGCCCTGTTCTCCCACCCGTTTTAACCATTAGGCAGGTTTCTGTAAGCAGTCATCGAAGTAATCCTGGCCCTCCACAGCCAGATAGCTGGAGGCTCAAGGGCGTTTCAAGCACAGGCCATTGGAAGCAGAATTTGTCAGATCATCAAGGCTTGCTCATGCTTATTAGACAGGGATCTGAAAATACCTTCTATTTCGAAAATATACAACATTCATATCCCAGGAAATTGATTTTACATTTTGTCAAGACAGCACCGGTTTTAAGAAGAGAGCACCCTCAGAGATCACTCATTGTGTGCTGACCACTGCATCCTTGAAAAGCAGGCCGGCAGTTCTGTCTCTCAGGATGCAGAGTGAATGGCCCAGGGCTTCCTCTTCCATTGGCCCTTTCCAGCTCCTCTCTTGTCCTGTCTTCTCCCGCGTGCCCTCTAGGCACGGGAGGACCAGAAGCAAGCATCCAGAAAAACGCAGCTCGGCCTTTCATGGTCAGTTTTCTGGGTACTTGGCCATTTATCTGGGCCGTTGACTTCTACATTGTGAAATGGAAGCAACTGCTTTTTTCCAGAATTTTCTTATGTAAGAGACAATTGTCTTTTATGTAGTAAGAGGATGGTGTCTGAGCAGACTCTTTAAGAGATTATAGAATCTTTTTGCTGTGATAAACATGTAAGCTTGACTAGCCTTTCCAGCCAGTTTCCAGGAAAATGCTGCAATTTTGCCTGGCTCTCTGCTTTCTCTGGTGCTGATGGATGCTGCCTCAGCATCTCAGACCGATTCCCTCCCCCACTCCCACTTCTTGGATCCCATTGGACCCGTCGCCCTGGTCTTCTTGACTCCAGGTCTGGCCCCTTGTGTCTTTGCCAGGCTGCCCTTCATAGCTGGACGTCCATTAAAAGGGATGGAGGAAGTGCCTCCAGTTCTCAGCATCAAGGTGATCCTACGGGGCGTCTTACTTGGGGCTCATGGCCGGTTTTAAGCTTTTTTAAAATATGTTTTATATATGTCAATAGAATTGGCTTCCTTTGTAATCCTGTGCACGTTATTTGATGCATATAAAAGCAGGATTCTGAGAAGGGATCCCTGGACTCCCCAATCCCTGGGTGCCAAAGGGGTCCCTGAGCTAGAATCATGTTTGCTTTGCTGTGCCTCGTGCTGGGCAGCCCAGAGAGCACACGCTTCCTCTTCCTGCTCTGGTCTCACTCCCAGGAGTCTGTGCATCCCACACTTCATGATTATCTTTGAGGAAATGCTGGCATTGCTCGTTTGCTCTGGGCTGGAAGCGGGTGAGCCTGGCCATGTGCGCTTCTGTCTCCCACGGCCCTTAGGGGCAGGGAGCACTGAGAGGCAGTGATAAGGAAGAAGAGCTGAGTCTTGGGGTGGCTGGGGCAGCCCTGATCAGCTTGTAGTGCCGAGTGAGCCTAAGTTCCAAGAGCGCCTGGTTCAAATGAGTGATACAGAGGTTCTAACAAACAAAAGAACACTTGTTCTATTGAGTTGTTCTCAGTTGTGTCTGACTCTTTATGACCCCATTTGGGGTTTTCTTGGCAGATACTGGAGTGGTTTGGCATTTCCTTCTCCAGCTCATTTTACTGAAGAATATACCGAGGCGAACAGGGTGAAGGGCCTTGCCCAGGGTCACCCAGTTAGTAAGTGTCTGAGGCCAGATTTGAACTCAAGAAGATGAATCTGCCTGACTCTAGGTCCTGCACTCTGTGCACCATGGTGCCACCTTAGACCATGAAGTTTGCCTTCCTCACAATTTATGCTAGTAGTGAATCCATTCATGTTAGTGATATGCCAATGATCCCTACAGCTTCCACTGGACCTGGAGGCCGGCCTCCCTCACTGTGCCGGGCGCCTCCAACAGGGGTTCCATTAGTCAGAAGGCTGTCCAGGGCCACTGTCCAGTGGTCCTCATTTAGGTCCCGGGGGAAGCTTCCTTTGCCTTCACCCCTCATGCTCTCCTGTGGGACCTCACCCTTCTCCAGGTGGGCCCTGCTCCCTGCCCCACCCCCACCCCCCTCCCTTTGTTTTCTGTAAGGCCCATCCAGGATTTTTCCTTTTCTTAGATAATTGACCACCAGTCTTAGTATCTTTTTATGTTGGGTGACTAGCACTGGCATCTTATGAAAGGTCACCTCCCCCTGTTTGGGGTGGGGCCTATGGAGGCTAGGGGAGGGGCTTGGAGCTTGAGGGGCGCCCCAACCACAGAGTCATGTCTCTTGTCTGGGGGCACCTTGTTGGAGAAACCTCCCCCCTGCAGGAACTCCAGTGGTTATATATCAGTAACCCTACTTAGTGCTTCCTCTGCCAGGCCATGGGGAGATAGAAGGGAGCTGTTCTTGGGGAGTGCCTAGTCTTAGGGGTGGGGCAGGGGATGGTTTGTACCCAGAGAAGCAAAGACAAGATGTCGTCAACATAAAGAGCAAGAGACTGACTCAAGAGAGCCCTCTGAGGGAGAGCAGGGTCACCTGAGCTGGGCTTTGAAAGAGACTCAGGTGCAAGGGAGTGGGAAGAATGGGAGATCAATCTGGAAAGGATGGAGCCAGGTTGTGAAGGGCCTGGAACCAGGTGAGCCAGAGCTGGCAGCCAGTTGTCCAGGAGGAACAGAGGCTGTGAGTGAACCCTGGGCACCTGGTATGAAGGTGGTGCCCTGAGCAGGAACACGGGCGACATTGGGAGGTGGGCAGGGACAAAGGCAAAGAGAATGAGCTCAATGTTGGACCGATTGGATCTGGGGGTGTCTCTGGGATCGTCAGCAGCAGAGATGTGGCTGTGCAGCCAGAAGCGTGGGGCTGGCGCCGGACCCATGGCAGCCAGTGGGGGAATGTCACAATGGCCAGCAGAGGCAGAGGGGAGGCAGGCAACATTGGTACTCCCTCCTTGTGTAGATGCCCTTCCCTGTTGGGCTGGCCAGTGTTTATTTACAGTTTGGGTTTGGAAGGCAAAGGCCTAGAAGATTGGGACTTTGGGATGCTGGTTATGGGTCCACACCCACCATGTGGCAGGAACCACTTCCAAAGGTGGATTGTCTACTCTGGCTGTGACCCATCTTCTTAGGAAATGCACTTGACATCAGCAGTTGTGAAAATGGATTCAATGTTAAACTTAGGGTATTAAGTTATTAAAGTCAGTGTCTTTTTCTTTGGTTCAACAGAGTGAAGCTTTCTGCATTTGGTTCTGAGCTGACTGACTGATCGAAGGAAGCCGTCCAAAGGAGCAGCCCATCTTTCCTTCTGAGTCCTCCCTTCCGGCCATCACCTCATAACGGGGAAAAGCAATCTTCAAGGTAAGCCTATTTAAAAAAAACAGTGAAATTGCTTCTGTTCAGGTTAAGAAGCTTAAAACCAGGGCAGAGTTCCCGGAGGCCCGGGTTCAGGCGCAATCTCGACCCTCCTACCGGGAAGACCACTGTGCCAATCCCTACTATTCGGTTCCAGGGCTCCAGATGTATTTGGTCGTGTGCCAAACCATCAGTGATTCACCAAATGCGTCTGTACGGTTCTAGGTTCGTTCATAAATGACACACGTCCACTCCTCTAGGTAGTCCTGAGGTCAGTTGACTTCGAGGCCCCCCAGAGGCCTGCAGATTCCAAAGGAAGTCGTGCGTTATCACGACAATCCCTTTTCTATCCCGTCTACCTGAACTTTGGCTGGTGAATGTCCATATTCCCTAACATCAGCCAATCCGGAAGTGCTGGCTAGTTTTACAGAGCTGGGTTCAAAGCCTGTGGAAGCTTGTTGTCTGGAACCTCAGGAAGCAGTTTGGAGAGTTTCTGTCCCCAGATTTTAACGTGTGTAGAGCTATAACGCAAGCAGCTTTTTGGAGGCGCAGTCACAGGATGGCCTGGCTTCTCTTCTCTGTTCAGGAGTCCCACTTTCTCACTCTCTGTTAAAACTGGACTTTAGCAGGAAGCACAGAGAAAGCAAGGTTATCATTGGAGTAGGCATAGTTGGCCCCTGCTAGACTCTTGGATGTCACGGCAAAGGTCAGCAGATCGGGCACTCCACTCGATCCTTCGTCGGAGGAAAATGCCATCTTTCTGTCAGGTTCACTGGCCTTCCCTTTGCCAGGAGACGATCAGCCAAGCTCTGAGTGGGCCTGACCCTCTCCTTACACCGTCCTACAGCCTCGGGGAGGCACTGAGCCTCATCAGTTCTTTGAAACAATCTCTGTGTGTGCCCTGGGGGTCAAGTGAACTAATCGGGAATGATGCTTTGAATGACCCAGCCTCAGCTGTGGGGCCTGGGCGTCCTACACTAAGCCATCAGGAAGGAGCTGCTGCTCGTATTAGTGGGGTGGCCTTCTTCCCTGGGAGCTGATCTCACTGGGGAGATCCCAGGGAAGCCTAGTCCTGGCTTGAGTCACTAACAGGGACTGCCTCACACTTTTATTTTCATTTAATAGTATTTTATTTTTTTCCGATTACACATAAAGATAGTTTTCAGCATTCATTTTTGTAAGATTTTGAGTTCCAAAATTTTCTCCTTCCCTCCTCCCCCCATGAGACAGCAAGCAATCTGATATCGGCTATACATGTACGATCATGTTAAACATATTTCCACATTAGCCATGTTGTGAAAGAAGAATCAGAACAAAAGGGAAAAACCACAAGAAAGAAAAAGCAAACCGACACCAAAGAGCAAATGGTCTGCTTCCACCTGCATTCACACTCCCTAGTTCTTTCTCTGGATGTGGACAGCATTTTCCATCAGGAGGCGTTTGGAATTGTCTTGGATCGTTGCATTGCTGAGAAGAGCTAAGTCTATCAGAGGTGGTCATCATACAATGTTACTCTTACCGCGTACAGTGTTCTCCTGGTTCTTCTCACTTCACTCGGCATCAGTCCACACAAATCTTTCCAGGTTTTTCTGAACTCTGCCTGCTCATCTTTTCTTATGGAATGGTAGTATTCATCACCATCGTATACCACACCTTGTTCAGCCATTCCCCAGTGGATGGGCATCCCTCCATTTCCAGTTCTGGGCCACCACACAAAGAGCTGCTGTAAATATTTTTGTACGTGTGGGTCCTTTTCCCTTTTTTATCGTCTCTTTGGGATACAGCCCTAGGAGTCTGCCTCACACCTAACAAAAAAGAGATTTACCGACCCATAGCATGGACAGGCTGCTCAGCCAGGACCCATCCCTGGGCTGGGCCAGGTGGGCACAGGGACTTGCCCACCATTGGATCTGCTGCCGAGCCAGAGGGTGCTGACTGCTTGGGGCCTGTTCTCACACCCAGTGACTGGAAGCTCCGTCAACAGCCTGAGCCTTCAGCCTCAGCTCCTCAAACCGTCAAATCTTGGGGTGGCTTTTAGGAAAAATGTAGCCTGGGCTGCGAGGCTGAGACCCCAGTAGGAGCGACAGCTGGCACCCGAGGCCAAAAAAAAAAACACAGAAGCTTAAATGATGGGCTTTGCTTTGTAATTCAAAAAGGCTTGAAAAACCAAGTGAAATTGGGTTATTTTTGCTACTTGACCCCACAGGAGCTGAGGTGATAAGAGAGACAGAGAGAGGGAGGGAGGGAAAGAGAGAGAGAGAGGGAGAGTAGAGGAGAGGGGAGGGAAGGAGAGAAATAGAGAGAATGAGAGAGACAGAGAGGGAAGGAGGAGAGAGAGAGACACACACAGAGACACACACACAGAAACCTAGAGACAGAGAGAGAGACAGAGAGAGGAAAGGAAGGAGGGAAAGAGAGAGGGGAGGGAGAGGGAGGAGAAGGAAGAAAGGGGAGGGAAGAATAGAGAGAGACAGAGACAGAGTGAGTGAGCAGCCAGAGAAGAGGAGATTCTAGGCCTAGCCACCCAAGCCTGGTGGTCTCTGTCTCCGTCTTGGTCTCTCATCATCTCTCAAACCTATGGTTTTATAACCATCCAGCCCTACTCTTTCCCCTGGGCTCCATCCTCCATCACAGCCGACCATTGGACATTTCTCCTGGATGTCAGACCTCTTGAATTTGTCTCTGCCCAGTCAGGTGTGTGGCCATTCTTGTAGTCCTGAGGTTTGCCATGAACGTCCTTGACTTTTCCCGCTGCCTCGCTCCCCAGCCTTGTCCTCCCTCCCTCCACAGGGCTCCTGTCGCGCCCCTTCTGCCCCATCCAGGCCCTCGCTTCTTTTTCCCTGGGGCACCTCATAGGTGCTCCTGCCTCGAGTGTCCACCGGTGCCCAACCAACCATTGTAGAGTGTGGCTCTGACTGCAGCAGCCCGTGTTCCACAAGCTCCGAGGTCTCTGTCATCTCTGAGGATCGAATACGGCCTTCTGTTTCCTCCTGTGCCTAAACTCCTTTTGCCTCTTCAAAGGCCTCTCCTCCATCTGACCTTTCCAGATCGCTACCCCACCCTCGGAAAGGCCTTTGGAGTTACCATGCGTAGACTCTACATTGGCTTCTCTGGCCCAGAAGCCACTGCTGGTGCACTGGAGACAGCTCTGGGCCTGGAGTCAGGAAGACCTGAGTTCAAATCCAGTCTTGGCCACTAGCTGTGTGACTCAGAGCAAGTTACTTAACCCCGAATGCCTCAGTTTCCTTAACTGTAAAAGGGAGATCATAATAGCGCTTGCCTTCCAGGGTTGTCGTGCAGATGCAATGAGACTCTATTTGTAAAGCACTTGGTATAGTGCCTGACACACAGTAGGTGCATAATAAATGCTTATTTCCTTCCTTCCTTTCTCCTTCCCTCCCTCTTTCTGAGAGGCATGGACTGTTGTTCCATTGTCCTGTGTGTAGATCCCCCAGCACAGTCAGCCTGGCTCGGCCAGGTGCTTGGGGGATGCTTGTGGACCACCTGAGGCCTCAGCGGCTCACTCTGTTGGTGGCCTCCCCCCACCCCCGGGGGGCTCTGGAGACACCGGGTTCTGGTTCAGGTTCTTCTTCCTCCCTGGGGCTTTCTCGGCTTCCTTTGCAGGCTTCTAGTCCTCATTGCTTCCTGTGGGGCTCCCCAAGCCTGCCTTAGGCACCTGCCCCTCTCTCCCTCCCTCTTTTTCTCCTTTCCTCCCCCTCCCCTCCTCTCCCCCCTCTTCCCCTTCTCTCCTTCCCTCTCTCCCCTTCTCCCTCTGTCTCTCTCTCTCTCCTCTCTCTCTCTTTCTCTCTTCCTTTCTCCCTCCCTCTCACTCCCCTTCTCTCTCTGTGTCTCTCCCTCCCTCTTTTTCT